GGCCAGTAATTGTAATATATTTGAGTTCTAATACAACATTTGATATCAATGGGCCATCCCCACTTTCAAAAACAAAAAGGTCCACAAAACCAAAGCGTCCGTCACCACTTTTCTTCATTCCATCAACTATAAGACGAAGCTCAGTGACATGAAATGACATTGGAAGGAGAATAGATTTATCTGGTGGATCTAAAAGACACTCTACAATTCCTTGTAGCACAGGTTCACTTGATAACTCCAGTGATCTCAGTGATCTTGTTTGCAGGAAATATTTTAAAAGTTTAATGAAATCATCAATTTCACCAGTAATGAGCTTATTAAATGCTGGAAGCATTAATTGACGAATTGGGACTTTTGCTTTCTGTAAACATTGAGTGAATCAGAGTAAATGACGGAATTCATATTATTGACCATTCATGGTAATCTAGCACATACCTTGATGCATGCTTTTTCTTTCGTATTTGTAATAGTTTCGAATCCAGTGGTCTCCCCAATATTAATATTCTTCATGCTAAGGATTTTTGGACGTTTTGCAGTACTTTCTTCCGATTTCCTAAAAACAAAGCCGAAATTTAAAGTTTAATCCATGTAAACTATAGTGCAAGTCACTTAGACGCTGAACTTTTTGTGCCATGATGCCAATTTTTCAAAAAAACTAGAGTGACGACGAGTGGCGATAACCACCATTCTTTTAATAAACACTTACCCTGGTCTTGTTGCCTCTGCAACATTCTTTCCTTTTTTTCTTTTATTATTACTTTGGCTTCGATTGTTTGGCATTTTTTTAATTTTTTTTTTGATGTTGATCATCATTGATAATTGATAATTGCTATTGATAAAAACCAAAAATTTACACCAATTGATAGATCAGAATAAAGAAAAGAAATAAACGACAACATATTTTTTTTTTCATTTCTAATTCTTTTCATCATAATCTTGGATTATTAAGGTTCATCGCCATCTGGTTCTTTTTGTGTGATATTAGAAATAAAATCATCAATGAAACAAACTCTCATAATATCAAGATCAACAACACTATAGAAATATTCTACCATAGATGAAAATAGGTATATAGATGGGTAGATGATATGGAGTAGAGGAACTGTCATTTCTTTACAATGTAAAGGGGACTAAGATCCCGACAGTCATGATTTCTCGCTTTATTCCTGTCTCTGCTCCACTGTTCTATCTATATAGACTAGACTTATATTATAATTTGTCATTTAAATATTACAGATATATATCAATAAAAAAATTACAAAGAATTATTTTTTTTTTAAAAAAATTTCGCACGAGTAAATTCATCATCATATATTTATATATTTGATACTGCATATATATATATATACAACATCTTGGAATTTGACGTTAATGTCCATATTTTTACTTCGAAAAAATTGCATAAAATATAATATTATTATTATATATAAGTCTTTTGCGTTTGAATGTTTTATTCCTATCATACAAGCTCGTGGTTAATTATACAAAACATATATCAGATATGTACTATAAAAAAAATATATATATATATATAATATAAACAAATTATGTATAGAGATGTTTGTTTACTAATATGTTAACACTTCCCTTCAGTAATAGAATAAGAATATTATAAGCCGGGGATAATTGTTTGTGTAGGAGCAATATTGCATACACTGTTGAATGAACCGCATGACCATCCGGTTTTCGAGTTACGTAGATTAAGACAAATGAAACTGTATATCGATCGATATAACAATAATTAGTCCAGAGCTTTTTTTTTTTTGTTTGTTTGAATTATTTTAATCAACATTAAGATAGATAATAAATACCAAAATTCTTGACCGCAAGGACATTTCATATGTTTACAGTTGCGATCATGTTCGATAATTGTACCACATTTCGGGCATGCGCGACATGATGGTACTCCAGATACGCTACCTACTTGCTGAAACCATAATAGTAATAATAATAAACAATATCAATTAGTATTAACGTTAAAATTAATTATATACAATTATGAAAAATTAAGATAAGATATCATCTTACTTTTGTGACCGCGTTTCTGAGAATGGCTAGACGTGGATCGACACCTCCACAAAGATTATTATTACAACGATAACCATGTGAACTCTTAACTTCGTGTAAGCAGTACCAACAGAATGCGTATTCTTTAGCTCCTGGCTTCCTTGAACATATAAAACAGATTACCGATGTCCGATTCTTATCGCCTCTCTCACAGAATGTAGAGCACTACCGATGGTATTTGAAGTCATCAAGAGCTGAAACATAAAACATGAAAAATGAATTTTTTTCATCTTACCTGAGGACATTCTTGAGTACCGAGGGCGCGAAAAGAATAATTTTCACTAATCTTATCTTCAAAATATTTGCGCTCATCATCAGTAAGCAGACCTATCCTACGGATGTCAACATATTGCCATTCCACATGGCAACGAGCATCGTTTGTCGCTTGATAATATATATATATATATATATAACAACGAATAGTGAGAAAACATTACCAGTTGACGTTAGACACAGATGTGTGAATACTCACGGTTAACATACGGACAAAAAAATTGAAATCTGCCTCCGCTAACAAGTGATCTGCAAAAGGCAGTCAGGGATTCAGGACCAATAGCGTGACCACATGGCATCTGAAAAAGATGGTTAAAAGGTATTTGAAATTAAATGTTTGTTGTTTCCATCAAGTCATTTGAAAAATATCTATTTATTATTACCTTTGCACGTAAGTTGTCTGGGTCATCATCCCAACTATAGATAAAAAGACCGCTTAGATTGACTGGAGTGAATTATCGAGCAACTGGAAGTACTTACGTGATCATATCAGGTTCATTGGTTAGCTCAATGTCATCGTTGGGGTCATGTTGTTTCTCAGCTGCGCCGCCCAGAAGTCTTAAATACGAATTATTATATATTATTACTTAGCAAAATAACTTAAATGTATATCCATGTATTAAACAAACATGGTCAAAAAAAAAAAAAAAAATCGTGACGTAGTTAAGCATAACAAATAGACATCATCACTATTTCTCAATCTTTAACGGCAGATTGAAAAAAAAATTTTTTTTCCTACCTAAGGACCAAATGAAGTGTAGAATGTTTCGTTATTTTATAACTATCCATTGTTGAATTATCATCATTGAGTTGTTTCCCAGCAAAAATGAGACGTTGTTGTTCAATTTCCACATCTGTTTTATCTTTCACCATTTTCTTAAGATCTATAACCCTGGAGATACCAAAGGAAAATGTCAGTACTAGACCTAGCTGTTTTCATTCCTAGTTTCAGGTATTATATTTACTTAGTTTCTGGCGTAATATTATTATACGTAGTCGTCCTTCCTTCGAGACCTTTAATGAATATTTGAAAAGAATCAGAACCCATTTTCAATTCAGAGTAAGATTTCTATCTGGTTGTAAGCAAATATATATGTTGGGTGGGTGGGAACTTAAATAAAATTTGATGTGGTCGATTATTTCTTTTTTTCATTGTTTGAAATTGTGTGATACTAATACTGATGCAGGGACATGCATAGTATAGTAATGTACGATTTTAGTAAGTGTAATAGTAACATAATAATAATCAATTTTTATTTTGGTATAGTGGCAGACCAGCAGTTACACAATCAAGAGGATCTGGGAGAATTGATAATGTGAATTTTATTTTGTCGACCATCTTAATAGTAAAATACTGTACATAAAACCAAAAAAAAACCTGTGTGAAAATAAATAACGTAAACTTCAACAAATACTTGTTGCTTCTCTTTCTTCCTCCAAATCAAAAAAAAAAAAAAAAAATTATAATTCACGATTTAATTGAAACCTTCCTTTGTTATTTGCAGATATCCCTTTAGAGAAATTTAATTTAATTTTTTTTAGAAAACATTGTAAAGTATTCCACAAGCATTGACATTACGTCAATTATATTAATATGTACCTCACATTTTTTTTTCTTACCCTTTTTGTCAAAAATCTATTACTATCATCATCATTTAACACTCTTTTTTCATACAAAATTATTTAATCTCTGTGGACTTTCTCACATGTGTGAACAATACAATAACTATGGGTCAAACTCTTCCAAATATGACATTCCAATTACTTCTCCTCGCTTTTTTTTTTCTTATAGATTCAGTTGCATATATAAAGAAATGTTATCGTGAAGTTTTACATCCTATAATTCCATAATTAATTCATATTTCCTGCTGTTCGCACATTTTAAATTTATTAATTGGATAAAATTATTTTATTATTTATACACAAGTCATTAAAATTTAATAAATTAATTTTTATTTAGTGATACTTGGTGTACATTCGATCATTTTTCAATAGTTAAATAAACATTTACTATAAGTCCAACATGTCATCATCGATATATAAGTTGTTTACGATTTCACGGAATTAATCAATTACGAAAAAATTCATCTTGCTTGTAAAACACGATTGGAATTTTTGGTTTGATTTTTTTTTTTTTTTTTTAAACTATTCATGGTTGTTGCAACAATTTTTTTATTATTTTGGATTCGATAATCACTAATTGTCATTTTCAATCACCAAATGAGTTTTATCCTTTTTTCCAAAATGCGTTTATGAAAAATTTACAGTACATATTCCCTTTCATCCTGGATGTCCTCATGTCAAATTTTTGATCCAAAATCCGACATATAATATTTCAAATTTTTTAACTTTTGAATAGATCGTGGAGTATTAAAAAAGTTTTGATCGAGACCATTCCATTGCATGAAAAATTTTGTTTCACTGCATGAATTTTTTTTTTTTATATATAGATAGTAATAGATAAAAGATAAAGCATTCGAATATCAGAAATTGAAATGCTATTCGAATACTCACATTAATATTAATTCCAAATAATATCCAAATATTCGTAATATCCGTAATACTTGCGATTAGATCATTTGAGATTTTATAGATAACTTCAATCAATATTTGTGATTTTGATTCATAAAAAAATTTGGGGCATTTCTTCAAACATGATGAATTTCAAAACTGCAGAAAGATACACACATACACACAGCTTTGCTTACACGGAAAAAAGGACAGGCGAGTTGATTTCATTTAACATGATACATGCAGACGTTATTGATCCCATTGCGGAAAAAACATTTATAAACTAAAGGTAAATTAAGAATTTATTTTAATGCTGAAATTTGTTATATTGCTATATAATATATATATTTTCTAATATTTTTCTATTATTCATTGATATAGCTATTTAATTATTATAAGTAAATGAGTAAATATATTATTATTCTGTTATATAGAAGTAATATTTTAAAAAAACCGTGGATTTTATAAATAACTTTAATGTTACAAATTTATTAAATTCATTAAAAGGATCTTTGATTTTAAAATTAATATCAAGACTCTAAAAAGTATTCTTTTGACTCGAATTTTTTGAATATATATGTTGCAGATCGCGCCCTATTATATATATCACAAATTTATATCACAAAAATGAAAATTAATGAACAATTTCCGCCCACATGAGTTTCTAATTCTCATTTTTTTTTAAATTTGATTGATTTTTTTTAATGTAAAAAATTCTAACAGATATTTCTTCATAGTGTCAAATAGTGATGTTAGCCGGCTAAGGAATTTTTAAATATGTCTTTTATGGTAAGTAAAGATTATTTATCTTAAAAATAATAATAAATAAAATGATATAGGAATTACATTCTTCCTGATTACAAATGTAATCATGTTAAAACTACTAAATTTTGATCCCTGTAATTCTTGGTAATGCCAATGTTCACTTTGTCTGGTTTTGTTGCAGTATGCCCCAATTAACATTAATAATTCTTTAGCAATAGTTAAAAAAGGAGATTTTTCGTAAAAATCAGTTTCGTTTTTTATTTTTTCAACTTTACTTTTGATACTCCTTAGCCCAAGAGCGAAACCACCACTTCCACTTAGACAACTATTTACCATATCTTTATCAGTGTAAATAGAATGGCTACCATAGTCTGAAAAATAAACGGGTGGATTTAACCAAAAGTTCTTAAATCATTCCTCAAATTTAGTTCCGTTGGGCATTCATCAAGGAGCATCGTAATAAGCGCCTTCGCGTTCCGATAACTCGTAGTATGCTTTGGGTTCTAATGGCTGAATTACTTTGTCCCAATCACAAACAATTTTTAGTTTTCGAGGAGTGTCTTTGAAATGGTTATAAAGGCAGTTAATATTTATTCTCTTTTTGGCTTCTTCTTTTTCTCTTTTTTCTTCCTCCATTTGTTGATCTCTTATGTTATATAGTTAGTTTAATGCTTTTCTAATTAAAAAAAGAACTAGTAAAAATAATAGTTTTGATAATAGAAAAACATTTAAGTTTTCAATAAAAATGTCAATAACCCATCAAAAACAAAACTTTCGGATGGGTTAAAGAATGCTTTAAAACATGCTAATTAATTTTTTCTAAGACTTTAATGAATTTATTTACTAAGTCTAACTTAATTATTAGCATATTAATAGCAAAAGTTATCAAACCAAATCATAAAGCGAACTTTACTCTTTCTTTTCAAAGTTTTCTACGGCATTTAAGACAATGTTTAATACACATTATTTTAATTATTTAATAAATATCAACACCTAACCGTCATATAAAGAAGAAAAAGAGACACAATCCATCCTATAAAACTGCAAATTACTTTTAGAAAAAATAATCCACTCAATTCCCCTAAAAGGATAATTATCCGGGCAACCACACCTAACGGAAAAAGCAGCAATATCAACAAAGGAATATTAAAAATTATTTCATATTTTTTTCTCTTCATCTCTTTTATTTAAATTTATTCTTTATTTTTTACATATATATTTATATCATATATTTTGCTAAATATATTAATTAAGTAATTTAGTTTTTTTAGTTTCGTATTTAAAAAAACATTATAGTTCGTCTTTTAATATCAAGATATTATGAACTAAGATTACTTTTAAATAAATATGAAGCCAACCATTACTAAACTAGAATACGAAAAGATAAAAAAAGATGCTTTGGTTATTGATGTGCGGAGTAAATTAGAGCATACAACCTTGCCTAACTTACCAAATAGTATTAACATTTATTATGAGGATTTAATGAATAATCCCACTAAATTATTACCTACTGCAATTTAGGTAATCGTTCGGGACAAGTAGCAGAGTTTTTGCACCAGCAAGGATATCAAATTTTTGTTTTAGAAGGCGGTATAGAAAATTATTTTAAGGAAAAAGTTAAGGGTAAATAATTAAACAAATTTCTGGTAAAAATTTAAAGATATATAAAATAAAAATCTTAAAACAGTATTATTGAATAATTTTTAAGCGCCTATAGCTCAGTGGATTAGAGTGTTTGACTTCGGATCAAAAGATCCAGTGTTAATTCATTAGTGACCCACCTAAACTAACTTCACAATTTTCTTATTTTTTTCAGAAATCAATCAACAATTTTCTTATATTATATATTTTGTGTGTATGACTCTGTTTATTATAATATTTTTATTTAATTAAAAGAGGTATAAGATATAGTTATAAAAAAATATTTAGTATATGCCGATAGTAAAAAAACCGCTTAGTTTTCCTTGTTTTAAATGCCAAAATAATTTGCTGGTAAAATTTGTTCCCCCTCACAAAGAATATAGTAAGAAAAATAATTGAGGTTATTGAACCGAAAATGAAGAAAATGAAGAAAAATACATTTGCGATAAATGTTTAAAAAGACTTGTATAAAAAGCACAAATGAGACTTCTTAGAACAAATCAAAAATAATAAAAAGCGGCAAAAAATAAGAAATTACATTTAATTTTTTTCTTTCTATTTATACAGGTATAATAAAAATGTATATATGAAAAACCAAAATAAGAAAAAAATTAATAATCTTAATGGATATTCTCAATGATTACAACAAAAAAATTTTGCTCTAGAAACTATTAAAAAGTATTTACGAATCCTTAATCAGTATGGGAAAAGAAAGATAGATACTGAGTCTATTTCTGACTTTCTCCGCGAAAACTTAACCAAATGCGAACCGGCTACTTTAAGAAGTAAACGCAATGCTTTGGCTTCTTACAGTAAATTTTTAAAAACATATAACAAAATAGAGTGAGAGAGCATTAGTAGATTAATTCCCCAAGTGCAAAAGAGATTTTTTCCCACGGTTGATTATCAAGATTTAGAGAAGTTAAAAAATGTTCGCACGCAAATTAAAACCAATGCACGAGATAGTTTAATTATAGAGTTTTTGTATTACACCGGATTAAGAATTAATGAATTGATAAACCTAAAACATAGCGATTACATTAATGGACTGTTAAGAATTCATGGCAAGGGTAATAAGGTTAGATATATTCCTTTACCTCCTTTTTTAACTCAATATTTTGATCCTTACTCACGACAATATCTCTTTTTAACGAGAAATGGTAAAAAACTCACTAAGGGACAAATAAGAAGAAATATTGTAAGTAAATGTCATCAAGCCGGAATTAAGAAAAATATTTCACCGCACAGTTTTTGCCACAGTTTAGCCACAAACTCCTATAATTTGGGAATTAAGTTAGAAACTATTCAAAAACAATTAGGTCATTATGATGTTAACACTACTTTAGGGTATATTCACAATGATTATCAAACTTTATATGCTGATTATAGTAAATTGTGAATAAATACAAGCAAAGAGTATTAAGTTTTAATGTAAAATTAAGTATTATGGATAAGAAGTAGTCATCGCCTATTCATCCGGGAGAAATATTAAGAGAAAAATTATTAATTCCTCGCAATATTAGTCCCAGTGATTTAGCAACCGCTTTAAAAGTTCCCAAAGAACAAATTCAAAGAATTTGCGAAGAAAGAGGAGATATCACTCCCGACTTAGCTACCCGTCTGTCTATTTACTTTAACAGCACAGTAGAATTTTGACTAAATCTGCAAAGAAGTTATGATAAAGAGATAGTGGAAGAAAAATTAACTTCATTAAAAAAAGAAATTAAGCCTTATAAAGAAGTTAAAGTAAGAAAAAGCACTTCACTAAATTACTAAGATTAATGATTGAAATAAAATAACGTAAAAAGTTTAAAAGCAAAGAGATTGAAGAATACTTAAAAGGTGAATGAATAAAAGAATTTTCGGGGATTAAAAATGATCGGGAAGTGAGAAGAAGATTGAGAATAACTTCCGAAGCAAAAGATAAAAGAGATTTTGCAATGTTCTCGGGTTTCCGTTTAGAACCAATTGCTGGAACTAAAAACCATTGGAGCATTAGAACTGGCAGTGGAGCATGAATAATTTTTTTTGTTTGAGAGAAAAATGAAGCCTGAGAGATTAATCTTAGTAAACACGATTATAAAAAAGTAAGATGATAAAGAAATTTTTTTAATAGTGTGGTGTTAAAGAAATTTATATAAAGATAACACCACCCTTTATAACTATAGTTTATATATTTATTGGGTTAGTCTGTCATAATCTGCTATATAATCTTTGTACAATTCTTCATGAGAATTATGAATATAGTCAGTAGTAGTGTTAATATTGCTATGTCCTAACAACTTTTGGATGGTGGTTAACTTTACTTCTTTATTATTTAACAAGGTGGCGAAACTTCTTCTAAAAGTGTGAGGACTAATGTGTTTATTTAATCCTGCTTTTTTGGCTTTTAGATAGATCATTATTCTTATTCGGTTAACACCTAGTTTTTTACTATTGATAGATTGGAATAAAAAAACAGAACTACCATTGAAATATTTAGTTAAAAAATCCGGAACAAAGATAAATCTAACTTTATTACCTTTACCATGTATTCGCAAACTTCTATTTTGATAATCACAATGGCGAATATTTAATAATTCACTTATTCTAATTCCTGTGTAAAATAAAAAATCAAGCATTAAGTTATCTCGCTCGTTGATTTCTTTATTAACTCTAACATCAGCATTTTTTAATTGAGTTAATTCTTCTTGATTGATAATATCATAGAACTTTTTTTGAACTTTGGGGATTAATCTAATTATTAATTCTCATTCAATTTCTATTTTCTGAAATTTAGCATAAGCGGATAAACAACTACGTAAGTTTTTTAAACTATGAGGCTGATATTTAGTTAAATTAGTTTTTAAGAATTCAACAATTTTATCATTGCTTAATTCGTGGTTACCGTATCTTCTTAATCCTCATAATCTGTTTCTAATGGTCTCGGTTGTTAAGTTTCTTCTTTCTAATCAATTTTTAAAATCGTTTAATTTTGCTGTATTGTTGCCTTGTGAGCTATTGTCGAATTTTTTCATAATAAAATTTTTCATGGTCTTTTTATTATGAGGGGGGAAATTCGACTAACCCCCCCCCTTACTCTATTTTACTTAAGGTCAAAATTTTTAATCTTGTTCTTCTTTTATTTAATAAAATTACGATTATGGTAAATGCTCAGCAATATATAGAAAATAATTTTCCTAAGCGTGTTAGTGAAATAATTGCTATTAATAAAAATTTAGAAGGACATTTAGATTTGTCAGAATATCCTAACTTAACTAGAGTAGATATTGGTATTAACTCACGATTGATCAGTTTAAAATTACCTCTTTTGTCTGAAATTACTCAAGTGAGTATTTGCGACACTGGCATTACTGATTTTTCTTTTTTAATCAATCTTCCTAACATAAGATTTTTCTGCTTCCCTAAACCTGCTGTCTCGGATGGAAATAATGCTGAAGTTGCTAGGGCAATTCGAAATATTTCTCAAGCAAGCCGAAATAAAAATGGTGAAAAAGACTAAACGCGACCAATTTAAGATAAATTTCGCTAATTTATTGAAAGCATTAGTGATGATATTAAAACGAAACTTGTTGACCATGATAAAAAACTGTAAAAAGTGACAACTAATAAAAAGAAAACAGACGGTTTTGTTGTAAGTATTATAAAGTTTCTTTTTGTAAAGATTTTATAATGAAAATAATTGCATGTATAATTGGTAGAAGTTAATGCTGCTGCTACTGTTGCGCAAGATGCCTTTGGCATATTAATAATGTTTTACATAGCTTTTATTAGTAATTCGTACTAAGCGAAGACATTATGTTCGCCGTGTAAAACAAGCATTGTGGAGCACTTTTGGTATTTCTCATCATCTCTCATCTTTTAATGATTACTGGAAAAAGATCAAATGAAGGAATGGAAAAATGGTGCTAAAGCTATGATAAATTGTTGATCCACATAATTATCAATCCATCACACTTATGTTGCAAAAATAATCAAAGAAACATTTACTAACAATGAGCAAACTGCTCTGAATATGGATTTAAGCCATCTTGGAAACAATCTTTGAACTGGAATATCTGTCACCAAAGCTTGATACATACATTTTTGATCAGCGCCTTGCACTATTGTAGAAACAGTGGGAGGCATAATATTGTCATTTATTTATATAGTGGTTAATTTTAAAAAAAATAATGTAATACCTTAAAATAGTCGACTAATTTAGTTGACTAATTAGTCGACTATTTTAGTCAACTAACTTTTTTTTTAAACAACTAATAGTCGACTACTTTAGTTGTTTATTTAGTCGACTATTTTAGTCGATTATTCAGTCGACTATTTTAGTCGACTATTATTATTGTCTGGCCAATTATTATTATAAATGAAAATGTTTTTTGTGGTACAAAAAAATTTAAAAATAAAATAATGGAAAATAATAAAAATAAATATGCGGAGTATCAATATTA